TTTGAGTTGTGGTGCTGGTGGAGAATGCTGAAAGTACCATGGACTGCTAAAAGAACTAACAGATCTGTCCTGGAGGAAGTGCACCTGAAATGCTCCTTGGAAGCGAGAATGGCCAGACTACGTCTCACCTACTTTGGTCATGTTGTCAGAAGGGACCATTCCCTGGAGAAGGATGTCATGCTTGGTAAGGTGGAGGGCCCACAAAGGAGGGAAAGGCTTTCAACGAGATGGATTGACATGGTGGCTGTGATGATGGGCTCAAGTATAGCAGGGATCATGGAGCTGGCGCGGGATAGGGCAGTATTTCGTTCTGCTGTACATGGGGTCGCTATGAGTCGGAAACGACTCGACAGCACCTAACAACAACTTTTGGTGAAGGTATTAACTGGTACAACCTATCATGTAGGTGTTAGTAATATTCATCATATGGGTATTGTAATGTTTATCTAAATTTAACCCCATGTATCATTTGATCTAGCAATTACATTAACAGGCATTTAAAACAGATAAATTTGCAAAAGCTGTCAAGGATGTTCACTATAGCACTGTAAGGAAAAAAAAAACAACCAATTGCACATTAAAAAGAAAGCAATCTGTATGTCTTGGTATGGAAAAATTATTTTAAAAAATTAAAAAGCAACATACCAAAAAGTACTCACTGTCTGATCTTTCTACACAGAATTTAAATAGTATAAATAAGTATGTACGGTAGCATATGCATTAGTACCTGATAACAGATGCACAACTTTGTGAATATATGGTTTTTGTTGTTAGGTCCTACTGAGTCAGTTGCCACTCACAGCAATTCTAAGTACAGCAGAACGAAACATATATATCAAATATATTCAAAATGCAAAGCATTAAATATTATCATATATAAAATATGAATATATTAAAAACATTAAATTTTACACATTAAAAAGATGAACTTTATGGTACATGAATTACATATTATCAAAGCTGTTCTTTTAAAAACTGTTAACAGGTTAATGATTATGAAACTTTAAAGAGATCATTATAAAAGGTGGGGAATGAGGCTTTTACTTTTCATTATGTAATTCTGACCAATCTGTATTGTCTACCATAAATATCTATTACTTCTATTACCAATTTTTTATGTCAACAAGTGTTATCTCTGTGGTAGGATTATAGTTAATTTCTATTTTCATCATTAAATTTTCTGTATGAAAAAACTAAGATATAAAAAACTAAATGAGAAAATACAAGTCCCTCTTTCCTCATAACGGCTATACATAAATCATAGTCAAACACCAGTCTAAGCTTCTATTTTTTAAAAAATAATATTTTATTGTGTTTCAGTGAAGGTTTACACAGCAGTTTAGGTTTCCATTCAACAATTTATATGCAAGTTGTTCAGTGACATTGGTTATTCTTCACAATATATGAACATTCTTCATAATATATGAACATTCTTCACAATATATGAATATTCTCATTAATTCAATTCTGGTTACTCCATTTCATTAATCTAGTTTTCCTGCCTCCTTCTATTCTCATCTTTGTTTTAAAGTATTATTGACCATTTGGTCTCACATATGTGAGTTTTTAAAGGAGCACAGTACTTACCGGTGATATTTACTAATTTTTTTTTTTTTTGCCAATTTGTTATTTAGTTACAAGTTGACCATAGGGGTTAGTTTTGCTTCAAGGTTTGAAAAGTATCTCTGGGCAATAGTCTCAGGGAGTCCTCCAATCTCAACCAGTCCAGTAGGCCTGGTTACTTATTTATTTATTATTATTTTAAATTTGAGGTTCCATTCCATATTTTTCTCCTATTCTATCAGGGTCCCTCTGAAGGAAGATGGGGCAACCTACTTCTGTAGTGATACTGCCTCGGAAACCCAAGGAGGGGTCGTTATGTGTTGGATCTGACTTACACCAGTGAGTTTGGTTTTGGTTTTGGTATCAAGGTCTATCTATTGTAGCCTTGATTAGAATAGCTTGCTATTTTTTTTAACCTGGATTTGATCTTTGAGTGATTCCTAGAAAGGATAACTACACTAAAAAATCAGGGAAAAAACTGTACCTGCTTGCAGTATTTGGTTACTGCTGCTCCTAGAGGGTGTTCACTGTTACTTTCAGCTGTTCCCACAATGGCCAGGATCTTATTGCGTGATATTCTGTTACTTTCCACTAGCACCTTAACTTGATTCACTACTGGGGTTCCATGGGTAATGGTTCCAGTCTTATCAAATACCACTACCTTTACCTGTAAGAAAATTAAAATACAATGCATTCACATAACTTGATAATCCTTTACATCACCTTTACTTTGGCAAAAATATTACTATTTTGTCTTAGGGAAAGTAAAAGGGAGAACTGGGGAAGAAACACAGTTAGTTACAGCTAATACTCCTCATTCGCAAACGTTCAACAACTATTTAATCATGCTAAATGACTGTGGTTATATGTTAAATAATTAGAGCTAATTGTTAAGGGTCAACTGTGAATAGGAAATTAAGAAATACCTCTAGTGCTTCCAGGGAAAACATAAAGGCTGTCAACACTAATGAATTCTAGATAAGTTGGGGAAAACTGGGCAACAAGCAGAAAAGGTAAGTAAGTAAACTGAAGTGAGCACCAGAGAAGACCTGCTGGGTTTCTTTGGCTGTACTGTGTTTAGATTAGGGATAGAAGAGACAGCTCCAGGAACCAGTGAGGGAAATAGCACCAATAAGAAAAAGAAAAGTGTCTGGAATTATAGAATCTCTTAGGAAACTAAGAATTACAAACCCTGAAAACTGAATACCCTGAGGAACCAAGATGAAAGAGACATGACAACAAAATGCGAAGTAAAATTCTGGACAAGACCTAGCGAATGGTACACTATCTGATCTGCAGCCTATATAACTATGAGACCAGAAGAACTAGATGATGCCCGGCTACCACTGTCATCCACTTGAAAGGGGATCTATGTAGGAGATCCT